AGCCGGATGTGAGTTTTCAGACAAACATTATGAGAGTGACTGGGTTGAAAAATTCAAGTTAGGCGTTTCTTTAGTGCTTAGACTAAGATCAGTATGACATTCTTTTATTCTTTCAAATGTGACACGGCTAATATTTTATAGGACAACGCCATAGCATACGTTTCATACCCTATATGCTTGAAGTCGACTAATAGTGGGAGTGTTGAATGATCCTTGCTTCAACACAGTGTGAGCCACACATATTCTTTTCCTATATATATCTTTGTTGACCAGTGACTATGTCATGAAAAGGAGGCTCAATGTTGCTACTTTAGCATGTATCTTAGGATCATGATTGATGCGGTCTCACGGGGCATGACTAGGAAAACAATTGAGTCTAGTTAGATTGGCATGAGGGCCAGGGAAGATTATTCACAGATACACCATGTTTTGTGACTCATTGTTGGGACAACTTTGACATATTTGTTTTTTTTATAAAATCACGAGTGCATTTCATAGTTGGGGTTTAGCATTGCTTATTTTGAGGGGTTAGAGTGCTATATCAATTGTAATCGAATGGTTTAGGGTAGTACGAGATGCTTTCGAGTGATATATTGTATTAGTTTGGTGATAACTTAACATTGTACTTAACTTAACAATGTACTCCTCTTGTTTGCATACGCTTCTCGTGAGGTCGCACGGTCCATGACCTGTATAAGGAGACGAGTGAAAAAGAGAATTTTGAGAGACGACTTGCCCTATGTGGGCGAGTGGGAGATGTTAGTATTTTATAAGTCGGTATTTGGACCCGAACTCGAACCTTGATCCGCCCATATGGGACAATTGGGCTTTGACCCGGTCATTGTTAGTTAGTTAGGGATATGTCTCTATCTTCTAATCAGTTTAGGAGATTATGAGAGATATATTTATATCTCCTAATCAGATTAGGAGATCATGGAATCATGCTTATCTAAGTGGTTACAACCACGTATAAGTATATATGTCTCTAAACATCTTAAACGTATGAAAGATTTTTCTTATCTCTCTGCACATATTATCTCTCGTGGGATTACAAGAAGAAACTCTAGTAGCCACTCCTTCACCTTGACGAGATTTCGGTGTGCGAGAAAGCAATGAGATCTTGATTTGGTTTTGGCATATTCAGGCTCTTAACAACAAATATCGATACGGTTATTTTTCTTTTTGGGTTCTTCAAGTGGTATATCGAAAACTCATTGTGTTATGTGTGATNATTGAGAAAGCGAGCAATATGAGACATTTATATTTTTGGCGCCTGAGAGGTGAGCAAGATAAACACAAACATCATTGCTATATGTCGCCTTAGTTAGAACTAAGATGAGACCTCATTAGGTCGATCATAGAGTACCTCCACAACACTATGAAGCCTAAATAGAGCCGGATGTGAGTTTTCAGACAAACATTATGAGAGTGACTGGGTTGAAAAATTCAAGTTAGGCGTTTCTTTAGTGCTTAGACTAAGATCAGTATGACATTCTTTTATTCTTTCAAATGTGACACGGCTAATATTTTATAGGACAACGCCATAGCATACGTTTCATACCCTATATGCTTGAAGTCGACTAATAGTGGGAGTGTTGAATGATCCTTGCTTCAACACAGTGTGAGCCACACATATTCTTTTCCTATATATATCTTTGTTGACCAGTGACTATGTCATGAAAAGGAGGCTCAATGTTGCTACTTTAGCATGTATCTTAGGATCATGATTGATGCGGTCTCACGGGGCATGACTAGGAAAACAATTGAGTCTAGTTAGATTGGCATGAGGGCCAGGGAAGATTATTCACAGATACACCATGTTTTGTGACTCATTGTTGGGACAACTTTGACATATTTGTTTTTTTGATAAAATCACGAGTGCATTTCATAGTTGGGGTTTAGCATTGCTTATTTTGAGGGGTTAGAGTGCTATATCAATTGTAATCGAATGGTTTAGNTCCCTCATACGTAACCCGTTGCTTGTGTTCAACAAGGAAAACATGCGAGACTAGAGGTTTAAAGGTATTAATTTGAACACATAGCCTTGCAAATCTCCTTTTGGATAATCCTCAGTCCTAGCATCAATTTTTATCAACGTACAAATTTTGAGCCCTATTTTCNTTCCTCATACGTAACCCGTTGCTTGTGTTCACCAAGGAAAACATGCGAGACTAGAGGTTTAAAGGTATTAATTTGAACACATAGCCTTGCAAATCTCCTTTTGGATAAATCCTCAGTCCTAGCATCAATTTTTATCAACGTACAAATTTTGAGCCCTATTTTCTTGAGAATAAGAAAGTCATAATAATCAATTTGTAGACCATACAATTTAACAAGTACCATAGTGTCTGTTGCTTTTACTGACGGTTGGAATTCAGGCTCCCATTGCCAGACACCTATGAAATGCTGCCCCAAACACCATGGACCTTTACTAAGTATCCTCATTTCATCTTCGTTCGAGTAGAAATGAGCAACATAGAACCCTTCACCTAGAACGAAGAATTCTGTTCTATCCTTGGTATTCCATAAGGCAGCCCAGTGTTATTTAAGGCGTAAAGCGAACCAAAGCGACCAAGGCTCCTAACGCCTAGGCGAGAAGCGAAGCGACACGTTTTACCGAAGCAAAGCGAACAGTTAAAAAAAAATATATTTTAATTTAATTACTTCTAAACAATCTGAGTTCTAATTTTATATATACTAAATATTTAAATGCAAGTAAAACCATAAACATTTAAATTAAAACAAATACTAATAATATCTCAAATCTTAATAGCAGTCATAATTTAAACATTTAAATTCAAAAAAATACTAACAATTATATACATTTTCATGTTGACTGGGTAGGACAATAAAAGAAGCAGAATCAGCAACAAAAAAAAAAAGAAGCAGAATGAGGATAAAAAAAAATCGAAGCAGTACAAGACAGCAAAACCGAAGCAGCAACAGAATCAACAAAAAAAAATAGAAGCAGAATGAGCTAAAAAAAAAACAGAAGCACAATTATCATGACAGGAGCAGAATCAATTGTAAACAATTTCATATGTACTTATGTACTGAATAAACAAAGCAGAACAGAAGCACATTTCACATGTACTAAAATAATTAANCAAAACCGAAGTAGCAACAGGATCAACAAAAAAAAATAGAAGCAGAATGAGCTAAAAAAAAAACAGAAGCACAATTATCATGACAGGAGCAGAATCAATTGTAAACAATTTCATATGTACTTATGTACTGAATAAACAAAGCAGAACAGANAAAAAAAAAATAGAAGCAGAATGAGCTAAAAAAAAAACAGAAGCACAATTATCATGACAGGAGCAGAATCAATTGTAAACAATTTCATATGTACTTATGTACTGAATAAACAAAGCAGAGCAGAGGCACATTTCACATTTACTAAAATAATTAAACATGGTATAAGCATAGACCACTTTTTGGTACCATTTGTATATATATAAGAAAAGGAAAAAGTATAACCAAGACATATCAGAGACACTTCTTTGTAGAATCGCCTCTTATAATAAAGTGTTCGCTTTTTCGCTTCTTCGTTTTTTCTCGCTTCGTTCACGTTCGCTTCGCCTGGGGTCCTCCAGGCGAGATAAGCTCGCCTCACCTCGCTTNATCGACTCTTATAATAAAGTGTTCGCTTTTTCGCTTCTTCGTTTTTTCTCGCTTCGTTTACGTTCGCTTCGCCTGGGGTCCTCCAGGCGAGATAAGCTCGCCTCACCTCGCTTCTCGCCTAGGTGAGCGCCTAGGCGAGCTTTTCAAAACATTGAGGCTGCCAATTGCGCAATTAGGTATTTATAGCTAAATGTTCTCCCATTGGTTTTGATGATGATATCGTTAGCCCAGGGACATCTGATCCTAGCTTTATCTTCTTNGTGAGCGCCTAGGCGAGCTTTTCCAAACATTGAGGCTGCCAATTGCGCAATTAGGTATTTATAGCTAAATGTTCTCCCATAGGTTTTGATGATGATATCGTTAGCCCAGGGACATCTGATCCTAGCTTTATCTTCTTTGAAAAAAAATTATTTTGAGGCTTCTTAACTCATCCTCAAGTTCTTTATCCAAGTCAGATTCTTCATTTTGCCTTTAGGTAGCATGAACTTCTCCTTCTAGGGCCAAGACATTTTTATAAGAAATTGGCCTTGTCTATGTTGAAGGTGGTGTTTCCGTGTAATTGGTGGAGGTGGTTGGTGGGATAGTGAGCTGGTTGTGGAGATTTTTGTAAAGAGTAGAGGTGTTACTATAGGTATAGGATGGAGGGTCATTGCGTTTTTGATATAGAGAGATAGCGGAGTGTTGGGAAACTTTTGGCAGAGGGTTTAGGTTTGGGTGTGGGAATGGGTTGTTGATTTCATCTGGTGGCTTGTGTTAGATCATATTTGTAATTAACTAATTTATGGAGTTCATTGTAAATCTCAACCTATTTTATGGTCATGATGCTATCAAGTTCTAGATTTGAAAGCGTCATTGAAGGGAGGAGATTAAGCATGAAAGCAAGATCATTTAACCTCCATATGCACCTTCATACTTAAGGCAATGTAATGACCTAAAGGTAAATTTTTTTTTTTTTGGGTTGGGGAGGGGGGCTTGTTGAAATACAAACTTGGAGGAAGGGGACCATTAGGTTGGGTTGAGATTCTAACCCACACCACCAGTGGGGTGGGATGGACNAGAGGTGACTTTTGTCTTTTTCTTTTTTTTTTTTGGGTTGGGGAGGGGGGCTTGTTGAAATACAAACTTGGAGGAAGGGGACCATTAGGTTGGGTTGAGATTCTAACCCACACCACCGGTGGGGTGGGATGGACCACTTGCCCTTGGGCCACAATTTGGTCTGAAGGAGGATTGAGTTTGCGGCGCAGTTCAGGGAACTCCACTTCCAGCCATAAAGATACCTAAAATTTGCTTATGAAATGGAAATGCCAATGTTCTAAGCAATCACTCATCCACTCTACACCACTGGCTGTTCTGATTCTTTTGATATGCTTTAAAAAATGGAATTCCTTCATTTTCTCCACATACAACTGTTCATCCTTTCAAGTCAGCTTCCAGGCTTGAATTGGCTGAAGAAAAACTATTCAAGATAATTTAAGTGGGGCTTGGTAGGTGCTTTCTTATAATGTTTAATTAGCATAACCATAGGTGAAGGTGGGGTAATTTTGTATGAAGATTGTTTAAAATTTCTTCTCACCCGATCTTATGATGGTTATGTGGTTTCAATTGTTTGGTACTTTATCAAAAAGCAAAGTCAATACTGAATAGATTGCATTGTTGAAGAGAATAACAAAAAATACCCAACTTCAAACTTGGCAGGTCGTGGAATGTATTTCTTTCTGAAGCTTATTATCAAATTTGTTTTTCAAAGCAGGAATCATTTGTTTCAGAACAGGTTATTTGTGGAAGATATTAAAGATTCTCCATGCTTGCGTGGTGCTATATCCCGAGCTGGCATATCCACTGCTAGACAGCAATTTGTTACCGATGGTATCATATAATCCCAGCAAACATTTTTCAAGTTTCCCCCTTTGGGTGGGATGTATTTATTATGCTGATTATTTTGTCTTCCTATATCTGAGTTCAGGAAAGCTCATGAACCGAGTATTTGCACCTTATACTGTTTACAAGGGCAAAGCTGCACTTTCTGCATCTCCAAGCCTTCCAACATTCAGTAAATTGGAGGTATTATGCATCTTCTTGGTGATTGCTTGCTATACTTTTAGTTCTACGGAGTAGAATAATGCTTCGTCTTTTCCTGGCATAGTCTGGAGGTCTCAAAATTGATCGCCGTGGCAGCATTATGTTGACATTCTGGCCTGCTGTTGGTGAGCGCAAATATGATTGGGAGAAGAGGCAGGTAAAGTTGCCTATATATTTTTTGACTATTATCTGTTTGTCACTGTTTGTTTGGCCCAGCTCAATGGTTCACCAAAATGACAAAATTGTTTCGGTTTCCATGGAAACCGAAACAAATCAACGATTGAATATCGAGATTCTTATATTTTGAGGTGTTTTATAATGTTTTGGCATATTTTGACCTGTTTCGGTATGTTCCGACCAATGTTTCGGTTTGTCCAATTTATTTCTCTGTTTAGATCATGTTTTTGAAACATTTTTGAAACGTTTCCGTTTCCAAGCTGACCAAAATGAAAATTTGATCCTTGTCCCATTGAAGGAAAATAAATTAGGGAACAACGATTATGCTTGTTTTACTCGTTGACTTGCCTATAAAAAATTCATGTTGTTGTGACTCAGTCCAGTTGAAGGCATACCATATGTAAATTTCACAGTGAAGTGGTAATTTAGAGGGTAAAACCTTTTTAAATTTTGGTTGGGCCTGGTTAATTTTAGCTTTAATGGCCTCGAAGTTACAGTAATATGCATAAACTGCTTTAAAAAATTCATGTTGTTGTGACTCAGTCCAGTTGAAGGCATACCATATGTAAATTTCACAGTGAAGTGGTAATTTAGAGGGTAAAACCTTTTTAAATTTTGGTTGGGCCTGGTTAATTTTAGGTTTAATGGCCTCAAAGTTACAGTAATATGCATAAACTGCTTTAAGATTTTATCAATTGCGTTTAAGTTTACAATGGAGACATCCTATGTCAGATTTTTTCATCCTATATATGTTCTTCCCTCCTCTCTCTAATATATTATCTATCTACATATACGTGTGTATATATACGCATAAATAGGGCCATACACACATGCATGGGCACACACTATCTGTGGTCTGGCTGACTGATTTAATAAACATGTTGTAGATGTTTGCTTTGTCGGCGACAGAGGTTGGATCTATGTTAAGTTTGGGTTCCAAAGACTCTTGTGAATTCTTCCATGACCCTTCAATGCTATCCAGGTTGGTCTTCTGTTGTCCTTTTTGTACTCTGTAATTTTGTAGATCGGATGCTTGTTTGTCTGGTTAATTTATGTTCACTTAATGCTAAATATCATGATAAAAATTTCGCATCATGCAAGGTTTCTATTAAAGTATTTCCTATAGTTAATGATCAGTGGAGTTAACTAGATTGTTAATATCACAGTAATGCTGGTCAAGTGAGGAAAAGCCTATCAATAAAACCACTTGTTGACGGCAGTGGTTATTTTGTTTCTTTGAGTAAGTGCTCTTTTGTTGATGTACCCATTCAAGTTTCTATAGCTTTATTTTTTTGTAAACTAGTTGAAATGTTTCATTGTAACCTGATGTTTGTATATATTTGTGTGTAATGGTGCTATATTGCTCACATGTGTTGGAATTGGAATCACAAAATTGTTATATTGGGGTCTATTCTGTGAAGGTGACAGTAGCGGTTTTTTAAAGACCAGAAATGTTATAACTTGGAGTGGTCACGACCTTTGCTCTCTGCAAGTATGCTATTCTGCAATTTAGCAATGCATCTGATTGTTTTCTTGTAATCTACCATAGGAAATTTTGTCTTTTTTGGGTCTCAATTTTAATAGAATCACCCCCTCCAATCAGAAATAACCCCCCTCAATCATTGCATCCATGGATGAAAATTTCATTTTGTTTCCACCGACATGACCGAAACATGTGTTTCCATGGAAACTGAAATGAATCAATGGCTGAATATTGAAATTTCTAGGTTTCGAGCTGTTTTTTGGAATTTTTGAGGTGTTTTGTGGTGTTTTGGCCAATGTTTCAGAAACAAATTTAGAAAATTTTTCTCTGTTTCTNTAAAAACTGAAATGAATCAATGGCTGAATATTGAAATTTCTAGGTTTCGAGCTGTTTTTTGGAATTTTTGAGGTGTTATGTGGTGTTTTGGCCAATGTTTCAGAAACAAATTTAGAAAATTTTTCTCTGTTTCTGAAAAGTTTCGTAGATGTTTCTGTTTCAACTTTCTGAGCTGGCCTAATTATACACCAAAATGAAATTTTGATCCTTGGTTGCACCACCATTGTGCACACCAGTACCTCCACCCATGGACACTGTTACTACCTTAATAGCTATTATAACGTTGCCACAATGTCATGCCCACTGCTATTTTGATTCAAGTCGTCTCAGTTCCAGATCCTGTGATCTGGCTACACTATTGTATATTATTGGACTTTGATACATTAAATCCTGGTTCCGACTGTAGCTAAGCCCTAAGGAAAGAATAACTAGCATCCATGACAGTTGCCCAGCTTTCGACAAAATTAGCTGTATCCCACCAAAAAGGAAAAGTAAGGTTACCTCATGTTAGATGTGTCTCAAAATGAAGCTAATATTGTAGCTTTTGACAAAAGTTGATGATTAGATCCTTAACGCTGCAGAGAAACATTGTGTTGCTGGAAAAAATGGATAGATTTTGTTGAAATACACTGAATGAAATTCTATTCAAAATGAAAGTTGAGTTCTGCACTGCTGCTTTTAATTTTTTTGGCAATGGACACTTGATAAATTTTGACATCTAGAGTGTTGTATTTATTTCAAATTAATATTGTGATGGTGGGCTTTAATTTATATCTGTGGATATCTTTAATTGGCTGCATCTGCATTTTATCTTTACCTCAAGTATGGTGATGGGTGTGAGACAAACTGTCAGTTTATGATTACGGCTTAGGATACAAGAGATGCCATATTTTAGAACTAATGTGCCTCACTCCCTGCTTGACAGTGATGTGATAAAATATATGGAGAAGAAGGGTAGATAGATAGTTACTGTGCAAACCTTGATGTTGTCACTTAAGTTCTGCCCTTCTTTGCACAGCATGCTGAACCATGTGCTTTCTGGTGTCACTTCGGAATTCTGCAGTATGATTGGTTTTCAATTTCAGAATGTTTTGGACTTCCAAAAACATAACTGCAGAATGGGTACTGTGGATTATGGCACTGTTGTCTGTTGTTTCTTTTGATGTATTTTTATCCATTATTCTGATACGAATATTTTTGGTAGGATGTCTTGTTCGCCAACGTTTCACTGAATTGTATTCTCTATTGCTTTTATATTAATGAAGTTTTTTAGTTATGGGAAAAAAAATAATTATAAAATGCATTGAAGAATTTTGTTTCCTTGTGTGTAGAACTTTTTATAAATTTCTTATTAGCAAAATGTGGACCTGAAGTACTAGTTTTTACTCTTGCGGAAGCATCTAATTAATTTGCTGGTATCTTCATGTAATTTCTTTGCAGATGTTGTCAACAATATCCTAAAAACCAATGAACGTTTTACAGTTCCTGTCACTGCTGCTGAGTTTGCTGTGATGCGCACGGCTTTCAGTGTATGACATTACAGTAATGTTTTTATTAATTTTATTGTGTTATGAATCTTGAAAACTGCTTTTTTTTTCAAGAAAAAAATGATGATATCTCTGTTAGTTGGTTGAGGATGAACTGCAAAAAAAATGTTATTATACTGTAAATTAGACAAGATGTTGCTAATTCATGGCTTATGATGAAGACAGGGAATTGTTGCTTTTGAACTTGAGTGGGAATTTCCATTAAAGGAAGGACTCTGTAGGAAGTATTTCTGGCGATCTACAAAACTCAATTAAGTAGGGTAGAAATAAATGATTATGTTTATAACTTCCTTTTTGTTGTCTTTGATTTGTTGGCTCCTTTTCAAGGGCCTATATTCCCAATGTCTTGATCTATAAGTGATTTCGAGATGATGGAGATTTTTTTTTTTGGTGATGTCTTTGGATACCCTTAGTCACGAGGCCCCTTTTGGGTACTGGATTCTTTGTTATTCTCTCATCTATAAATCACCCATTTTTTATAGATTGAACTCACTTAGCCGACCCCAAATAGTTGGGATAAAGTCATTGTTGAGTTGTGATATGTGAAAACATGGAAAAATCATTTGTGCATGGTCATGATTCGTGAAGGCTAAGAGCCCAGAAAAAGAAGTGAAAAATGGTGCCTCTCATGAAAAAAGTAAAAAGAGGGATCTCTGAAGATTCATTTTCAGCTGCAAGCTCAACATCTCAACACACCTTCGAAATGACAACGATTGTGTTCTAACTGTGGACTGTGATCAAAGAGAGAGGAGCAAATATATTATGACACAGTAGTCTGTGTCACAACTTATTATAGAAGCCTATATATAGAAGGGTAACACTAAATAAAAGGTAATGACTGAGCTAATCCTAATACTAAATATCTAAATATACTGGAATACTCTAACAACTTCCCCCCTTTCTTTTCAAATTGATGATGGGATGACAGGGAACATCAAGAGTTTGCCAAGTAAAAATAAAAAATGCACTATTGTGTGGGACCTCGTAATGAAATTCGTCAACTACATAGTAAAAGGAAGGAAAGGGAGAGAGATAGTTGAAGATGATGGCACACAAAATTACAATTAATCTTAATATGCTTATGTACGCTCATGAAACTCTTAAGTTGTGGGCAATCTGAATAGCACCTGTGTTATCACACTACATAGGGATAAAAGTAGATAAGGAAATACCAAGATTAGCAAGTAACCAACTTAACCGGACTATTTTAGCTGCAGTAGATGCCATAACATGATACTCACTTTCAGCAAGGGAACGAGCCATGATAATTTACGTTGTTTTTTTCCTGGAAATAAGAGGATCACCAGAAACTAGTGGTAGACTTGGGACTCATAAAGTGAACATCTGAATGAGCCACGAGTTTCATAGAATGCAAGAAGAAAAATAATAGGCTTTGATGTAGAGTACCTTGAGATACCGAAGAATGCGGAGAACAACTACCCAATGAATAGTGTTAGGTGAAGCAAAAAATTGACTAACAATATGAATAACATAAGAGATATTTAAACGAGTAATTGTAAGATATAGTAGACTGCCAACAATGGTACAACATAGAGTAGTATCAGGTAAGAGTATACCATCAGAGAAAGAGTAATGATTATTGAGTTCTAAGGGGGTTTCAATTGCCCGATTACTGATAAGTGAGCTTGCTGAATAATATCCGATGTATACTTGGATTGATAGAGAGAAAATAAACTTTGACAGAGGAAGCAACCTCAATTCCTAAGAAATACTGAAGTTGTTTAAGGCCATATAGAGCCTTGTGAAGTTTTCTATACTTGTTTAGGATTATGAGNTGCTGAATAATATCCGATGTATACTTGGATTGATAGAGAGAAAATAACCTTTGACAGAGGAAGCAACCTCAATTCCTAAGAAATACTGAAGCTGTTTAAGGCCATATAGAGCCTTGTGAAGTTTTCTATACTTGTTTAGGATTATGAGATAATTCACGAGGAGTCATGAAAACATCTCAGATAAATTTTCATGAAGAAAAAATTTTACAAATCCATCTGAGACAAGTTCAACTGACTAATAGTTGCCACTATGTGAACAATGGTCATCTTAGCAACATGACCAAAAGTTTCAACAAAGTCTAGACTCATTGTGCAAATCCCTTATCCACTAATCAATCCTTATACCTTTTCACATAACTATCTAATTTAGGTTTGATCTTATAAACCCATGTGCGACCAATGGTGCATTTGCTAGGGGTAAAAACACTATCTCTAAAGTGTGACTCTTATGCAAGGTACGACACTCCTCATCCATAGCTTTTTGTCAAACAAGATCAAGTATAGCCTTCTTATAAGAGGAGGTTTAGACAGAGTGTGAATAGAAGTTAGGAAGGAACAAAAGTCAGAAGAGTAGTAAGAGATGGGGAAACTAAATCTATATAGACACTTTCGAGAGTGTTGAAGATAGTGGGAATCATGACCCATGGTGTTAGAACTTGATTGACCGATAAGAGAAAAGGTGATGGAGGCAGCATGTTCGTGGAGGAAACATCTAGAGTCGTGCGAACGTAAGTATGCATTGCGCAATATGGGGACGTATAACAAATAAATCAGAAGTAGAAGAGAAAGGCAGATTAGAAACATTTATATTAGCAACATATGTATCTGGAGCAACATTAGCTTTGGAAAGGGATCAATATAAATAAGATTTGACTTATGTAGAGATGAAGAAATAGAGGAGAATAGAAAAGAAAGGAATGTGAAAATATAGCGAACGATATAGAATTTGTGTGTAATAGGATCATAACAACGATATTCTTTCTGTCCCTCTGCATAAACAAGTAAAACACAAAGTTGAGCGATCAAAAAATTTGGTATGAAGACCATATGAAGCAAAAGACAAAACAAGTACAACCAATCGCACTCAAGGAAAAATATTTTGGAGTTTTATCACAAAATTTTCTGAAGTGGAAACAATAGAAGTGAGAATAAGGGAAATACAGTTAATCAAATAAATTGCTGTAAGAATTGCTTCTCCTAAAAGGAATTGGGGACTTTTCTGACAGAATGGGTTGTTTGCATAATGTTGCAGTGTTTGCGGTTGGCAACAACATTTTGCTTAGGTGTGCTTGTTCGAGAGGTTTGATAGACAGTGCCATTAGATTCCAACAAATCACAAATGGAAGTAAGAGACTATTAACCTCCTTAATTATATAATATTGAGTATGGACCATAGCATGAAAAATAGTGAATATAGAAAAGAAATAAGATGTTTCTTCAAATATACACTACAATACCTGGTATAATCATTAATGAAATAGACATATATCTAGACCACAGTTCAAGGTATCGGTTAAGTCGGATATGACTTGGCTGAGTTGTATCCGCCTCGATCAAACACTGATCAGATGCCAATACACGATACCAAAAAAAACACGATTCTATTAGGTATTAGTTTTAATCAGTTTGACTTAGTCCAACTCAGCTTTAACTCGTTTAAATCGGTAGATTCACATCTGAGTTGAATTGATTCGCACAGAATCGTCCACACGCTACTCAGGAAATAGAGACAATACCAAAAAAAAAAGGCAAGATATGAGGTACAAGAAACCCAAAATTAGCAAAAANCTAAAAGGAATTGGGGACTTTTCTGACAGAATGGGTTGTTTGCATAATGTTGCAGTGTTTGCGGTTGGCAACAACATTTTGCTTAGGTGTGCTTGTTCGAGAGGTTTGATAGACAGTGCCATTAGATTCCAACAAATCACAAATGGAAGTAAGAGACTATTAACCTCCTTAATTATATAATATTGAGTNAGTTCCTTTTGACTGTATTTAATTTGTTAACTAATATATTTTAGAGATAAGATGTATGGATGCTTGATATTTATATTATTTTTGAATTTTTCATGTTTTTTCAAAATTTTTGGGGCCTTCTATCTTGTGTTTTGAGCGTATTAACCGATACTGCGATCGATGTGTCTTGGTGTCTTTCGAGTCGATGATCGATACTGTGATCTTGAACCATGATTTAAATCCTCTTTATGTGGGAAGAGTGCTAGTGGCACTTTTTTAAAAAGGTAATGCAGATAAAATTAGCCAACTTACTNTCGGTAGATTCACATCTGAGTTGAATTGATTCGCACAGAATCGTCCACACGCTACTCAGGAAATAGAGAAAATACCAAAAAAAAAAGGCAAGATATGAGGTACAAGAAACCCAAAATTAGCAAAAAAGACCCAATTTGCACCAAAAGGCAAACAAAATTGAATTAATAGGAAAGAAGCAAGTTCGTAAATCTGCCTTAAGAACTTAGGTGGTAGTCTGCAATTTTTTAACCCTATTAGTTGAATTTTACATGTAATTATCCAGCCATTAAACCCTAAATTGGACCCTGTTTGCCATTATATAAATAGAATAAGGCATTGAGAACATTAGTAACACAAACCTGTAAATCATGGAAGAATCACCTTAATCAAAGAGCCTTTTTCTTCTTCTTCTTCTTTCTAGCAGAGACCCATTGGCCATCACAGATCGAAGCATCATTAACCGCAATCTTCGTAGATCATCTTTGCAAGTTGCAACTTAGTTTTCTCTCTCTCTTTGTTCATCTCCCCCACCCCTCTATGTGTGTTTGTGTGTGTGATTGACACCTAAAGACAAAAGACCCACGCCTTTTTTATTCCTTGTGTATGTGTTGGTTTTTATTTTCTTTTTTCTTCTAATTAGGACTTAAACTCAAAATTGACACTTTTATTGAACTTTCTTTTGTATATGTAAATTTTTATGTAATTATTACTCATTTTATGTAATTTTTTTAACTATCATATATACATTGTATTTATCATTTTATAATTGATAGATAATTATATATTGTTCTTGTTTTTATTTTAAAATTTGTTTAGAATTATGTACTACTATGTTCAAAATAGTTATAGTTATTTATACTTAATGCTTAGTATGTTTTTAAATGCTTACATTTCACATAGGTGATGATAAATATTCTCAATTACTCCCTCATAATTCCTTTT